TCCTGCAATAGTGCAGGTCTCTACTCGGAAGGTGCCTGTTATAATGTTATGATGGAGGCTCTGGACTCTGAGCATAACTTATTTTTCTATAACAAACTATAAAATAAGGAATACTGCTGTAAAAAAGCACCTTATTTGTTTAAAGTGTTTGCAAACCAAATGTTATTGCACCTTTGTTCATATAGCAGTAATTTTAAATAAAAAAGTGCACAATATACTACTTTTGAATGCATTATTGAATTTTGTGCATAATGCGATTAATCGCAGACAGATTAAACATTTTAATCGTAGCCCAGCACTAATATATATATATATATATATATATACACACTATCATTAAGGTAAAATTAAGTAAATGTCTAAAAAAAATGTCAAGTGTCAAGTAAATGTCTGAAATTTCTTTTATGTTCCACAGAAGAAAGAACAACCCTACGGGTCTGGAGCAAAATGAGGGTGATTAAATTATGACAGATTTTTAAAGAAAAAAAAAAACTTTAAAAAAAAATTTTTTATTAATTTTTTTAAGAAAAAAAAAACTTACAGAACTGAGGACACTAAAAAGTAGGCGGTCACTATTGTGCTCTATTACAATTTGCCCGTATAATCTCAGATGCTTGAGATTACATTCTTACCTACATTCTTATGCTGATACACACTTGCTGCTGCTCATGCACACTCATTTCCTTCTCACTCTTTCTCACATATTCACCTCTTGCCAGTCCTCTTTGCCCCATCTGTAGTGGGAGACACAATCAGTGACCTGACAAGGCTGGGTAGAGGGTGAACGAATGAGACGGGAACATTTAGACTCCGTCTTGCGCTCGTCACCACTGACACAAGAAACCTCACGATGCTGCAGTCCATTTCCACATGATGATGAACACTACGGAGAATGACACAGGTGGGTTAATGGAACTCATCAATTCTACATTTCTGTTATCTGTTTACATACTGTAACAGCCTTAACAAATCGCAGCTGTCCTCTAGTTTGTTCAGATAGTAATTACTTCCATTGAATGTCATAAATCAAAATGTGATGACAGGTACGGATGGGATTACAATGAAGAGAATGCCCAGTCTGTTGAGAGGTTTGCACAATCCTGCTCTGTTAAAGCTCAGAAAAGTGCTGCTGTACCCGAATGTATGTTTTTCAGCTGAGGCAACTGGAAAACCAAGAATGAGGTAAAAGTTGAACTAATGTCTGTATCATGCATATTCTATTGTGTTTTACAGACAACGTTTTGTAAATGTGACACGCCTAGGTGGGTTTTTCACTGCATGAATGCCATCCAAATGCAGGCAAAAGGTAAAAGAGAGTCTTCCATAAAAATAGCCAACTAGTATTTTTGGCAAACAAATCCTGCCAGTTTACTTTAACTTTCATTTTACCGTATCATCAAGTCTGCTTGTGGTTAACACAGAAGATGAAGGTTAAAATTTAGCCAAAATATCAGTGAAATTGAATGAAATGAAACTGATAATTACATAAGATGGAATTGGGCTCTCCATTCATTTACATGAGTTTAAATATTGGTCATAGTGTGTAGATCATGCTGGGTCATTTGTTCATGTGTATTTGGTTATTGATTGGAAAGGTTGTTGCATTGCATAATATCAAGAATATTTTAAGATAACAAGCAGAGATCTTCCGTGTATGGGAGTAATTTTCATAAAAAATAAAGATTTTGAGTGCTACTATGTATCCCATTGGGAAATATATTAAAACTGTGAGTGGACTCTGAGCACATCTCATACTCTGAATTTTGTTGCGTTTGGAGAAACAGAACAATATTCATTTTAAATTGCTTGTTAAATATATTATTTTGGTTTTGGTGGGGCAGTATTCGAATGAGCAAATGAATAAGTATGCATGAATGAGTGAAGTGAAGAATAAATGTGGGCTTTTAATAGTTTTCTAACTCTGTGAAATTGGGACATGCTGTGCAATACAAATACATATACTTTTCTGCATATCTGCTTTCCTTCTCTCAGTTATTTACTACACAGTCTGCTCCTGTAAATCTCCAAATCTTGATGCTGCTGATGATTTAGAACAGTGTTTCCCAACCTTTTTTTAGTCGCGGTACCCTTTGGTTTTTCAGGTAGGTCTAAAAGCAGCATGTCATGGGACCTTTAAGATATTTTAAAAATTTTGCCGCGGCACCCCGGTTGGGAAACACTGATTTAGAATATAGATTTACACTACCGTTCAAAAGTTTGGTTTTAGTAAGCTTTCTTTAAAGAAATGAATACTTTTATTCAGCAAGGCAATGCATTGTATTGATCAGAAGTGACAGGTAAGACTTTTACATTCTTACAAAACACCTCTGTTTCAAATAAAACAAAAATGTTCTTTTGAACTTTTTTTAAAATTAAAGAATCTTGAAAAAAATGTATGATGGTTTGCACAAAAATATTAAGTCTTCAGCATTAATATATTAATATTAATATATTAATTATAAGTATGAATATTACTTATATCAATATTAATATATAATAATATATTTAAAGATGTATTAGTAAATTAATATTATTTTTTTAAACATGTTATTTTTAATATATTATCAGTATTGATGATGATAATAATAATAATAATAATAATAATAAATGTTTCTTTGAGCACCAAATCAGCATATTAGAATGATTAATGGCTTTGTAATGGCTGCTGAAAATTCATCTTTAAATTTACATTAAAGTTACATTTTAAAATGTATTGTAGCCTATATTAAAACATAAAAGTTATTTTAAATTGTAATAATATTTCACATTTGTACTGTTTTTACTGTACCATTGATCAAAAACACAAATAAATCTACGGACCCCAAATAGTTGTAATGGTAGTCGGTATACACGCACACAGTGTTACCTCTCCCCTGCTTCCTGTCTTCCACTTGGGGCACCTCCCGCTTCTGCAGCGCCGTTGCTTTTGTGGGAGGGACAGGTGTAGGCAGTGCTCTTCTGGGATTGGCTGGCCAGAGTGACTGACACAAGTCACATTGCAGTACTTGTATCCTCTCCCACAGGACAATGAGCACTGCAAGAAGGGGAAAAAATGCTACAGTGAAATCCAACTGCTTGATAAACACAAGCCTAATTAGTGTGTCATTTGTGGTGATTATGTTTGATTATGAAGCTGATTATGTCTAAATATGTGAATTTATGGGTATGTCAAAGTAAACAAAAGAATAGATCAATCCTGTGGTAATCATTGTAATTACGTTCAAATTTATTACAATTTTGACAGTACATCATGTTATGTGGAGAATTAGTATATGGACATTTACAGGATAAGATACCAACAACATAATATATTATATACAATGGGAGCAGCATAAAAAAAATCATTTGCTTTACCTCAAATATTACTTACAGTATAAAAAGGGGAAAGAAAGTGTCTCTGAATCATAATGAATGGCAGTCGCTACATCTGCTTTCTGAGCCGAAGAAACAGTGACATATTTTCTGGCACCAGCGGATGAATAGAAAAGAGAGAGAGGCTTCCCTGGACCCCAGGAAAGGAGAGGAATGGATAATCAAAGGGCCCGGAGAGGGAGGATGGATATGATGCGACAAGTCTGAAGTTGAACAAGTCCATTCCCAGCATGCATTCATGAAATACAGGAACTAAGAGAACAGAAACTCCCCAATTGGATAATGCGTTCCCGGGGATACTTTTTCAAGCAAGTCAGTATGTCACAGTTGTATTTAAGGTATTGTTTTTACAAATATTTACAGTACCAAAATATATACAATTGGTTCAGTTGAATACATATTATACAAAATGCAATACCAACAACATTGACAGCTGCAGCAAAATAACTAAATGAAAAAGTCACATAAAATAATACAAAAGTACACATTTATCTTTAAAGCAAAACCTCCATGTACCATTGTTATAATGATCCACTTTAATAATTCATCCAAAGCCCTAGATATTGATTCATAATAAATCATACACTTGCTTACTCTGCCTCAGAATGTTACAGTGTGTGTGTGTGTTTATGTGTGAGAATGTGTAATATATATATATTCTTTTATGAATTCTATGCAGTTACAAGTATAAAAGATGCATACTTTTAGTTTAATGTGAGTGTGTGAAGGTCTCTTTAGTTGATATGAAACATCAATAAACTTACATTTACTAAACTGTATCACAATCTTGGTGGTAATTTCTGTCATCAGATCTAAAGCACTTAAAATGGCTGTTATTTTAATTATTGACATTTGAAATGGTTTTTACATACAGCAATAATGTGTGTGTGAATATTTAGGGGCCATATCAATCATTTAGTTTATTATCATATGGCAAGACATTTATTTCAGTCGCAGTTAAAGGGAGAAAAGCTGCCATACTGTTGTTCAGAATTTATGTACCTTGTTAAACGAATGCACCACTGATTTAAAGAGCACAAATTACCAACTTTTCCACTCAATAGGATTCCAATGCAGGGTCATTTACTTAAAAATTTCCTTCATCTAAAAACCACCCACAATCTTGAAATGCACAAGCTTTGCTTCCCAGAGTGAACTATTTCCAAATTTCATCAAATTGACAATGGAAAACTAAAACACAAATGATAAATGTATATATATGAGATTTTTTGTAAAAAAAAAAAAATTGTATATTCGTGATGCTAATAAAACAAATATTCCAATTCATGACATCTGAATGCATCTGAATGGGGGAGGGGCTTTTTGAACTATGCAGAATTGCTTTGTTTTTCTTTCAAATTATTGCCACAAATGATGAGTCCAGGCATAGCAATGTACTTGGCCACATGCCTCACTACATTCCAACGTTAGAACTTCCAAGTATCAAACTGCACACAGATATCCAGGCCGCAGAGGCCTCCATGCTATGTGGGGCCATTGCTCTTGCCGTTCATTTTTCCCATAAGAATAAAACTCCTTCTGAGAAGTGCGTCCATTCTGATTAGATGAGCTGGGAAGGCCGGTAAAGACCTTCCCACAGATCAAAGGCCCCCCCATGCTCTTGCCATTGTTGTTTTGATGTATGCTCATTCAGTTGACTGTGACCATATCACGACCATCAGGGCTGGTTAATATCCTGTACCGTCCAAAAGGAAATAGACAGCGGTAGTAGACTTCTTCTACAGGTACTGAGATGAGTGAGCACCAGAAAAGACCTCCATTTAAGGACAATTAAAACAGGTAATACAGATGTTCAATATTCAGATGAGAAATTTTAAAAAAGCAGCAGGATAACACAAAAAGCCATACAGAATTAGAAGTTTGACACAAAGAAACAACGGATATTAAGTTCAGTGATTTTGTACCTTCTTTGATTCATTACATATTAAGAAAATATGCTTAATCGGCAGATTAAAATGCTGTTTTTAAAAAAAAAAAAAAAGGTTCTGAACACGTTCAGAATAATACAAGACATTCAACATTCAAAGCCATTTTCTTTCCTAGATAACTAATTCACAAATCTACTAGTATTATTAATTACAAAAATTTGCCTACTTTTTCAAACCACATCAATAATAATAATAAAAAAAGAAAAAGAATAACTTGTTGTTTAATTTGACCATCATCATTAACAGGTTCAAACAAATATGGACACACATATGGCAGCAGAAATAAATACAAATACATACAATATACAGAAATGTTCATGTACACCTTCATTAATACTGCCATTTGATTTAAACCGCTTAATTTTCAGTCTGCTTACATTAACAGACCATGTCATGAAAGGGAATAGCACCATAGACACTATAGCACCATGACATCTTTGGAAAAAAAAGAATTGTATAAATACAGTGCTGTGAAAAAAATAAGTACACCCCATGAAAAGAGTAGTTTTTAGGACAGATATTGGATTGCACTCCATCAGTGTTAATAGATAAATTACAATTTAATAAATCATACTTAGAATGGACATTTTATAATTATTTGTGCCATTTCTTGTGCTGGGAAACTTTTTTACATCACTGTATGATTCTTTAAATATATACTACTATATCCATGAGAGATTAGAGATCAAATTAAGCAATTAATTGTTGCTTATGGGTGTTATAGGATAGCTTAGCATTTGTTATCACTATCCACAAATATAAAGCGGATGGAAGACGTATGTGGTAGGGGTGCAACGGATGATCCGTGATTCGGATCAGGCTGCACGGTTCAGCACGCATGTGATTCGCGGATTAACTGTTAAATTTAACCATCATAGAGTGAAAGTTTATCATTTGCACATGTTTTGTCTTGCCAGTTTACACATTCAAGCAGTTTTTCTGTGCGCTCAGCCGCTGCCGCACACACACGCGGAGAGAGAGACATGGCGTGAACACCGAATTGATTCCTCTTTTACATACACACAAAGTTATGTTAAAATACCCGTTTTGGCAAGTATTCTAGTAAACACAGTCGGTTATGTCTTAAGTGAACGTAAACAGCTGAGAAAGAAACCGGATGTGTGTCAGTATTAGGTCCGTGCATTTGGTCGTAAAGAGACAGCAGCCAGCAGTTTCTGTCTGCTAATCAAATAACACCACAGCTCTAACAAAGATTAATCTGTATTTAACTTGTGCAGTGAGTACTATTGTGTTTACACTTAAACTTGTGCAGTGAGCACTATTGTGTTATTTTACACTTAATTATTACATTTCTGCACCTGAATGCTACTGTTACTTTGTAACTGTGTTTTGTTGTTTTCATCTATGCTTGTAATTTGTGTAATTGTTCTTGTTTTATTACTAACTTTATTAGTTAAGCTAGTAGTTTTTGCTGTGGTATAGAAGTACTTAAAGTAAGCTTTCACTAATTTTTTTTTGCTGATCCAAAAAATGATCAGATCCGTGGCTCAAAATCCGTAATATGATCCGAACCGTGAGTTTTGTGATCCGTTGCACCACTAGTATGTGGGGCTCTTCATTGAGAATGAGGTAGACACAAGTAGCTGGCCAACAAGCAAAACTAAAAAAACTGGCCTTCCCTGGGTCTGAGAGAAATACAATGAGAAATTTTACACACTAGACTAGAACATGGTTTTTGTTGCTTTATACACAAAATTGAAACAATATTGATCTTGTAAATAACCTAGAAAAATATTACAATTGCAGAACAAATCAACAGACATAAAATGACACAAAAGTACATTTGATTTCAGTTTACGTCACAACTTTTTCTATTTACTTAAAAATGTACTGTACTTCTGTAAGTTACCTTAAATATACAAAAATATAGCAACTATACACAGATTTTCACATAAAGTCTCCCTTGTACTGAAAAAGCACCATCATAAATTTGAAAAAGGTCAATGGCTAGCTGAGTTCATGTGAGGTATAGTTGAAAGAAAAAATTAATGAGAAACGAATTATGAAGAGCGTTAGAAAAACACAGGGAGATAGTTTCAATATAATAAAGTAAACTGCCTGTGGCCAGATGTTTCAGCTCTAAAGTGGAGCAAGTATTGCTGCCCATGTATTCGAAATACTATATACTATATTATATATAAGCCACAACAAAGGGCGTCACAATGATTTGTATTTATCCAAAGTACAGCTGCGTTGGGCAAAAGAAACCTAACATAGAAAATTAAATAGGGGAAAAAATCAAACAAAACAGCATTCAAACAAACACATCGGCCAAAGAGATGCTCACTTTTTCAGTCAGGAAATAAAACTCTAAAACAATATTTGACTGCATGTTTGGTGGATCTTTAAGTGCAACCGAAACTCGCTGATAAGCAGCAAACGTTAAAACCAGCTATTTGTTTACTCAAAGATCAAACCATCTGAGTTTCAGTTTGTTTTCTTCATGTCTTGAGTGTAAAGAAACATTGGCATGTTGTGAGAATGAGAACTTATGAAGGGAGAAAGTTAAAATAGTTATGAGCGTACCGAGCTCCGTTGGTCTGTGCTCCAGTCAGGGTTAATAGAGCAGGACTGGGTATTGCACTGTTCTCGGTCGGGTGGTTTGTCAAGAATTTCACAGCTCAGATCGTTAAAGTGCTCCCCGTTGGGCCGCTGACAAGCGACCAACCGGGTCTTTATCCCTTCTCCGCAGGATTTTGAACACTAGGGAGGCAGAAGCAGAGTATGGGTGAAAGAAAAGAAAGAGTGAATGTCTTGTTTCATTAACAGATATAATTTTGGACAGTTTGGACCACATATATAATGTCAAAATGTCACAGTATTGTCCTGAGTAAGGACACTTCTAAAGCTTCGTTCAAATAGACAAAATAAGATATTTTGGTCTATCCTACTCAAATCCTTTGAAACAAATTTTATATTGACCCTAATGCAAGAAATTTACAAATCAGATACAAAACACATTTGAATGAGGTTGTAAATGTGATTAAAAATGTAAAAGTGTGATTAAAATGGAAATTGTGTAATGTGACCAAAACCTTAATCTTACTTAGTTAATGGATAGCATCTACATACATACACCAATTCAAACTTTGGGGTCGATATATTATCTTTATTCTATATATATACATTTTAAAATGTAATTTATGGCATTGCTAAATTATCCCAGTCTTCAATATCACACGATCCTTTATAATCATTATAATATGCTGATTTGGTGCTCAAGAGACATTTCTTATTATTATCAATGTTAAAAGCAGTTGTGCTGTTTAATATTTTTGTGGAATTTATTTTCAGGAATTTTTAATGAATAGAAAGTTCAAAAGAACATATTTGAAATAGAAATCTTTTGTAACATTATGAATGTCTTTTCTGTCTTTTCTGTCACTTTTAAACATTTTAATGTATCCTTTCTAAATAAAATATTAAAATATTAATTTCTATTAATTTCTTGAAACAAATCTTATTGACCCCAAACTTTTCAACAGTAGTATATATATATATATATATATATATGATTAAATACAATAAAATAAATTCAATTTAATTCAATTCAATTCAATTCAGAGCATCTTACCTCACCCCAGCTGCCATAGAACCACTGAGGGCAGGGGCCGGACTCACAGGAGCGCTGCTCTATGGGTTGAGTGCTTTCATCACAGCTGTTGGCAGGGTAGCCGTTCTCATCCTGACACACCACCACACGCCTCTGGAATCCTCCAGCACAGGTACTTGAACACTGAGAGATGTGAAAGAGAAACAGAAGCTACATAATGAGAGAAGGGCTACACACAATCACAAACACTAGCAAGCACATTCTCAATGGACCAATTTCACATCCCATTAGTCTTGACAGAAAATATTCGTCAATACATAAACACTGACCAACACTGACAACTTTGATGGAAAAGATTATGACTGGGAATCAAGCAGCAGGTTTTTAAATTTTTTAAAAAATGCTGAAACCGAATGACATTTTGTTTCATGCACTCATGGCTAAAATACTCTTGTCTCTTGATGGTATGGCAAAAGAAATAATGTTTTAGATAAGTTCTGAACAGTCTGAATTAAATGTGATGAGAGAAACACAGAACGGCAAAAACAATACATAAACAATAATTAAAAGTGTCTTTATGTTGTTTTGAATTCACTACCATATAAACTACCGTTCAAAATTTGTGGTTGGTAAGATTTATTAAATGTTTTGTAATAAGTCTCTTATGCTAACTAAGGCTGCATTCATTTGATCCAAAACATAGGAAAAACTGTATTATTGTGAAATATTATTACAATTTAAAATATAATTTTAATATATTTAAAAATTTAATTTATTCCTGTGATGTAGAGCTGAATTTTCAGGAGCCATTACTCCAGTCTTCAGTGCAGTGTTAATTTCGTTGACAGATAATTTTCATCATAATGTTCGTCAACAACATTTTTTCACGAACGAAAATGAGACGATAACGAAATAAAATGACTGCACTGGACGCAACATTTGACGCGTCGCTTCGCGCCGCAACAGCTTGAGACTGGACACGACAAAGCGACCATTGCAAATCATTTGTGTCAGTACGTCATAAATAGAACGAGGCATCAGTTTACTGTAAGGGATTTGTCGTGTCGCACCGCGCTGCATCCAGTGCAGACAGCATCGCACCAAACCACGAATATATTATGAGTTTGAAAATTTTTGAGAAATGCTTAATAAATGCATTACACTGTAATTAAACCCATTAGATTTTAGTCGACTAAAATCTTATGATATTTAGTTGACTAAAACTAGACTAAAACTAAAACCATTCAGATGACTATAATGTGACTAAAACTAAATGGCATATCAGTCAAAAGACTATGACTGAAACTAAATCAAAATTTGCTGTCAAAATTAACACTGCTTCATTGTCACGATTCTTCAGAAATTATTCTAATATGCCCCAAACTTTTGAACGAGATTAGATAGATAGATAGATAGATAGATAGATAGTGTGATGTTTACTATTCGTAAAATTTAACGTATCATGAATTAAATCCTTATTAAGTGGAATCGGAATCATTCCAATTCCTCATGACTACCATCATTTGGAAGGATGCAAGATATATATAGCTATAAAGGAAGCACTTTTCAAAAGGTCTACAAATACCTACTTTAAGACAAAAAGGAAGAGCTTCCCAAATGCTGCACAACATTTAGCTGTTCTTTGAATTCTAGAGACTATTTAAACCACTGATATCATTAAGGAAACAGCAGCATTTATCAGAAAGAGGAAATGTTGATGCTTGGATAATTTAAAGAGTTCATGCACTGGTGAGATCAACACCTTAGATGCCATTCTGCAAAGATGTTCACAAGTCTTTAACTTGGAGTCCGAGTCAAGTCTGAAGTCTTTAACCTGGAGTCCGAGTCAAGTCTCGAGTCTTTGGTCACGAGTCCGAGTCGAGTCTCAAGTCATTTAATGGCTCGCTAAAAAAATCCCATTAGAATCCTCATGTATTGAAACCTTCCTATTTATGAAGCTATTTTATAGGCTATAGATAAAATATATGATCTATCATCTGCTTTTTTTTTTTTAAAAAAGAGGTGTTAAGATGTAAGGTTAATGTACATCCAGCCTGTTACTTATATGTTTTAATCCATTACCATGTTCAAAACAGTTTTTCTGTAATCAAATTATATAATAAGAGTCCTATCTACCATGACACGTATGGAAATATTGACACAGATATTACAAAACCATACAAATAAATAATTTATTTTTGATATAAGTCAGGGGTATTCAGTTAAAGTTCCAAGAGGCGCGGTTTCTATATTTTCTTCCAAGCAGAGGTCCGGACAAAAAAACAAAAAACAATTACACGCATTGTATTTTTACATTTAGATACATGCGAGGCCATGTGACAAAAAAAAATGTTTCTGTTTAGGGTTTTCCTTCTGAAATCTATACTATTTTTATATTTTACTTAAAAGCAGTATCTAGCCTACTAAAAACAATGTAGCTACAATAATCAAAACGTTCTCATCTTGAGCAGAAAAGAAAGATAACCAGCAGTTTCAAAGTTTAAGTTCTATCCTAGCCATCTAATAACAATTTCCCAATTATAATTACATGATTCTTTTTAAATGTTCTTAGCCTACAGATTAATCATGCTAAATGTAGATCAGAAACGTCTTGCCACATCTGGCTTGAACAGGTTATGGATAGATAAATAGATAGTAAGAAAAAGAACTATATTTGCAGCATTGTTTTTTTTCTGCTGTGTTTTAGTGAAAGTAATCTATAATTTTGCTGCTCTCCGTGTTTCTGTTGTTGTTAAAATAACCGCGTCATCCACGCTGGCGTGCGTTCGGAGAGAGAGAGAAAGCGCATGGAGCTGAAAGGGCTTGAATAAAGCGCGTTTGGCTTTACATAAAAATACTAGAGTAGCCTATAGCGCTGAAAGATATCTACCATAAACGACCCTGAGCGCTTGTTATGTGATCCACTCCGCTGTTTTGAATGGTCACTTAAAATAGTGCTGCTGTTACGGCTCACAGTCCGTATGGATGCCGGGGTGAGGATGTGGTCCGCCTTTTGAATATCAGTTATATATAAAATATTCATAAGTCCTTTTCCTCGAGTCGAGTCATGTCTGGAGTCATTTCAGGTCGAGTCTGAGTCAAGTCTGAAGTCTATAAAAATGCGACTCGAGTCCGAGTCACTAACTCGAGTGCCCATCTCTGCCATTCTGTTCCTGGGTTTGCAAAAGGTCTCTAACAGGACTAGTTTTTGGAGTAAATCAAACATCATTGACATGCAGAGATATAATCATTTTTAGAGGTACTTACCGCCCCCCATGGTCCAGTCCTCCATTGATGAGACTGAAGTCTGCCAGCTCTGTTACGGTCAGCTCGTCCGGCAGGAACCGTTTTTTTTCGAGAATCAGGGTTAGGTAAAAAGCCCCCGTGGTCGCTGGAGTGAGACGGACACTGGGGCATGGCACACTCCTGCTCTGTTGCTGGCTGATCATCTGGGTCACACTCACTCATATCCACAACTTGATCGCTGATGTTCATGCACACTACTTGCCGTGTAGTTGTACCCTGACCACAGGATACGGGGCACTGTAAATACAGACAGATACACACACCAAACACATAATTATACAGAAAACACACTGAACAATAACACCATATATTAAGATGATAACCTACCACACTTAATTTGAACCTTAAAATGACTGCCAAGCTATGTATTGGCAGGATTTGTATTTTGATATGAACTATTACTTAAATTGAAAAAGAAAGAAAAATTGTTTAGCTTGCTTGACTTTTTCAGATATTTCAGATATTGGAAAGTTCGAAATTTTCGACAGGAGGACTTTGGCTAAAGCAATCCAGTTACTCCATAGTAATTCTTGTCTTCCTGTATAAATGTGACCAGTATGCACACCGAACCCCATCTGCACACAAAATCCACACAAAATGAACTCTCATCAGTTTCCAATTACAACTGAGCTCTAAACACCAGAATGAGAACAGAATGATCAAGGTCAATGGTCTATGATGTTAGACTGTAGAACAGCTGTGAATGAAAATACAAATACTTTCAGTGTTGAAAGAATGTTGGCTAACACAGTGGAATGTTAATATTGCACATACCTGTATATACTGAATAAATACAGTGGGGTCCAAAAAAAAAGTAATCTAAACTTGAAAATAATAAAATATTTTAGCATTTTGAAATATGCATGCAAATAATCAGGACATTACATTAAAATAAAAAAGGTATATTTTATTTACCGCAGTCCATTCCAGAAAAAAGTACAATTACTGATAAAAACTACTTAATTACTGTAACGTGAGTATTTGTAATTCGTTACTTCACACCCCTGATTTTCAGTAATGAAGATCCCTGACTCTAGGGGTGAAGCTGGTAGGGCTTCATGGCTGGAGCCAGTGTGCTTGATTTATGCTTGACTGGCTGGAATCACTTGTTCTGGGTCATTGCGCCTTAAGGCAAATAGAGGATTTAAAACCAGGGGGCCTCCTGCCATATCCCTCCTTTCGGTTCCTGACTCTCTCACACTCCCGCCTACCTCTACTTATCCCCTCTCGGTTTCTGCCTTCACCAATCATTTTACATGTCTCTCTGAAACCTGACTCTGACTGGCCAATCACAGCATTCTGTGGTCAAATAGTTTTGTATAAAGACTGTATAGTATAATTAACCATTTTCCTACATAACAACGATTTACTCATAGGCGTAATTTGTGGGTGGGATGGGTGGGACATGTCCCCACCACTTTTTGCCAAAGTCGATTCTGTTCCCGCACCACTTGAAAACCGTTGAAAAAATATAACATGTAGAAGACTTATAATGCAAAGTAAATGCATCTCCAGTCTGCATCCATCTCCAGTCCTTCTTCATAATTTAATTCATTCATGTAACACAAAATATATTTGCTTCAGTCAGCTTGTCACGCACATATCAGCATGTATAAACAGTAAATGGCGTTATGTTATTATGTGCGCATATCTGAACACACTCTTTTACTGTGTGATAGCAATGAAGTAAACCTATATTTGCACATTTAGATTAAATATACCATTAAGTTAAGCACACAAATTACATGATATAATTATCGAGAAGTTAAATTAGAAGTTAAAAATCGCCCGTTTGGAACAGACATAGTACTGTATTAATGATAGCGGGGCAGGTCCGGTTCCAGAATCAAATCACTGAGGGTGCTTCTGAAAATAGCGAGGGTGCTCTAACCTTAATGCATATCTATTTGGAAATATATTGTCCCATCCATTGCTATGGCGCAAAGAGCACTCCCTTTACAATTACTAACAAGCTGTCACTAATCTTATCGTGATCTTACGAAGTTCCCTTGAAGTCAATTAATCTCTCTACACTACGAAATGAATCTGTTATTTACATCATGTGTACACTTTGTTTGTTATAATGAGAGGATTCGTGAGTGCACAACACTCAGCACTGGACAAAATCAACGGCATTTTGAGCAGTGAGTGGACTCTAACTTTAATGCCTCTGATTGGCCATTGCATTCATGAAATTAAACAGATACGTCTGTGATTGGTTACATTACTCAGGGCAAAACACATGTTGGAAATAGAAACCTTTGACACTCTCCAGAGCGCAAACACAAATGCACACTGATCATTTGCCAAAACTGTTTTGCCAATATGTTATTATTACAGCTTCAACTGAGGATGCTTCACACCCTCTAGCACCTCCATAAATCCAGGCCTGCGGAGAGGATTGCTTGGCTGTGAAAACTCTTAAATTGTGCTATACTGCAGAAATCAGAGTCTGAGCGCAAAGAAAATATTTTTATCTTAATAATGATCAAGTGATACGCACTTGATTCAGAAGATGGCTTAGAAACATACATACACTGCCGGACCCGTTCCATATCTACTGCTGCTACACATGCACTGCTGGTGATGTGCGGCTACTGTACTGTACATTACGCATTCAGTCTCCAATGCAATGACTGTAAAATATGCACAAATGAGTGAGAACTGACACTGAAGTCTGATGATGTTCCATACAAGCAAACTTAAACATGCATATTTCCTGCTTCTAGCTGCCTATTCAGCGTATCCCGTAAAGGGAATCAGCGCACAATGTATAGGGTTGCCATGACTAAAGAGCTTGAATATTATATTTATTTTTGCAATAATTTTAATAATTTGTAGATAATATTTTTAATTAATCATCACAATTAAAAGAACCAAAGACTTGAACTACTTCAGTCTGTGTGCATTGAATTTATTTAATACACGAGTTTCACAATTTGAGTTGAATTACTGAAATAAATGAACTTTTCCACGACATTCTAGTTTATTGAGATGCACCTGTATATCTACTACAGTACATGGATCCTTTCCGTATATAAACACGGCAACATAAACATGGCAAATCAAAACATTATCGTGAATGTGTGTGGAAACAGCGTGAATGTACGGAAATGTCTGTGCCTGTGCATAAATACAATGTACAATCAGTGCGTCAAGAGCACTCTTACACGCATTATTATAACGGACTCACGCGTGCTTACTGTATTGTACGACTCCTGTACGCGCCACCGCAATCGTCTTCACCTTGATTGCAGTCTTCATCCATCAAAACTTTACTAGCGAGACTGGTTATCCAGTCGAGAAAACGTAGTTTGCGTCTCATCTGGCCATACAGCGGTGGGATGTGTTGACAATCCATTCTGTCTGTACTTCACACAAGCGCGTGACATGGGCTCGCGCTCTTCAGAGACAATCACAGAATATGACAGAGCTCGTGTTTAAAAGCGAAACACACTGGAATGAATAATTCACTGAAAACGCAACGCGAGTCTCTGTTCTCTCTGCAATATCTGATGTAATCAGCCTGGTATTCCTTTATATTAGCGCTGTTTTGGACGGATTGTGTTTGTTTGAATGCATTCGCTTACTGGATGATTGGACTGAAAACTTTCCCGTAGTTTAGCGGCTTAAAATGATCTAATCGCAAAAGGAGAAGCAAAATTGGGTTAAAGGGTTAGAATAGAAATTGTGCTTCAGTAATTTTGCGTTAATTGCGTTAAATTATTTTAACGCGTTAAGGA